AAAACAATCTGGTGTTGATGATGCTGACACAACAGAAGCTACTGAACAAAGAAGATTTCAGGGAGTACTGGCTGGCTTGCAGGCCATCCCTGGAGCAGGGAATGGAATCCTTACATGTTTGCTGATCTGGTGCTTCTGGGAGACCCTGAGGTATGGTAGAATACCAGGAGGCAGGCCCCATGCCCACAAGGCCAGCTAGGATTCAACCTCAAAAATTCCTGCTTCTGACAAGGTCAAATGCTGGTGGACAAGACTTGGGGCTCTTGGAAATCCTGGTGAAGGATTACTTTCTCAATGTGGATGACCATGAAGAATAGACTGGAATTCCAATACGGATTTAAACTAGAAAACCAGAATTATGCAACTCAATGAACAAAATGACCAATATTTTTAAAAGAAGGGTCACAACACATAGAAGGAGAGGATAGACAGGAGGAAGGTGTTGGAGCAATAAGAAGCATCCTTTGCCCTGGAGAGAGAGAGAGATCGAGATCGAGAGAGACATGGAGGGAGGGACAGACACACACACACACACACACACACACACACACACACACACGGAGGGAGTGAGGGACAGAGAGCGTGAGCAAGTGGGAGAGCCATTTGTGCGCCAATCCCAAGGATCCTTTACTTTCTCATTTACTTCAAAGTTACTCTTCTATTAACTCCCAAATTCATCGTCTTATGCCTCTCCGGTTCATTATAGCTGCTTACTTGGACTAATGTCTTTCCTGTTGGACTATTTAGGAGGGACCTACAATTTTATTTTTCTTGCCACTGTATCTTAGTAATAAAGCTGTATACCAGGCATTGTATCAGGTATGCTAATCCCCTCAAAAACTCCACAGCATTGTTATTATTTTTTCATTTTTTACATATAAAGAGTTAAAAATTTGAGAAGGTAAATATCCTGCCCAAGATCATAGCTAATTCGTTTAAGGGTCAGAATTCGGACACCGGTATGTAGGTATTCAAAGCTCCCACTCTTCCTACCAAAACATCTCTTTGCTCATAAACTAGCCTTTGGAACGAGGGTTTGTTAGTGGCCATATCTCAAGGAGGAGACACCATCTTTACCTGAGCTCTGTCACTGTTTCTTTGAATAACTCTGAGTAGCTCTGAAACAGCCCTCTCATTCTCATTTCAACACCTCAGGCTCACTGCCTGGTTTCTGGTCGAGCCATTCATTCACAGAGTCAATGAGCTGCGCCTGGTGAGGAAGCATGCTGTTCCTGCCTTGAGGACCTCCTCTGCTCACTTGTCTAAATGTTCACGTGGGGCTCAGGCTCTGAGAGTGCTGCCCTTATTTCCCAATGCTCACACTTGCGTAGAGCACATTGTGAACGGAGAATGAGATGGCCTGGGTTCCATCGAGAGAAATGTTGGCCCCCAAGGAGTGTGAAGTGGGTGCAACTCCCCAAGAGAAGAAAAGCCAAGTTTGGTATGACTGCAGGGTCTTGTCTGAAGGCTATACTTATTTTGTTTCTGGGTTAGAATGAACAGATCTGAGAAGGCACGGAGTTAAGAGCTCCTTGTTGACACGACTTGCCAGCAACCCATACTTAAAGGTGCCAAATCTCAAGGCAGAGCACTCTCAGAGGATCTAGAGAGAGGTGTCCTGGAGTTCATAAGGGAATAAAGTTGTGTTTCTTGTCCCCACACAATATGCCACATAAATTATGAGTCCTATAAATGCCCCAAAATGGTTACACTTATGCTAAGCTAGCTGAGTTCTTATTAGTTTTGTTTCTCTAGTTGCTATCTGGAAGAAGAGCAAGCTGACCATTTCCTTTATTGTTTTTAGTTTTGTTTGTAGAAATAGATGCAGAACAAGCAGGTGATGGTTTTCCCTTTAAAATAACCATTGTGTGTTGTTTATATTTTTCAGTCATCCTATGTAATTGTTAATTAAACTATGTATTGGGGGTTGTTTTTATAAGGGTATAAAATAGTTACATTCTCTACCCTGCAGTGCCGCCAGATCCTTGCAGTACTGCCCCCCTTGTCAGTAAGTTTTCCTTTCCTAATTAAATAAAGCTAATGCCTGTTAGTCTGTGTCTGGCTCAGTTTTTAGGTCTGTCTGTGAATACAAACCTTGAGGGACTTTCCCTCTGGCGAGCAAACCCCAACATTGTGATGAATATAGAATGTGGTTCAGATCCAACAACTATTTCATTAGTGTCTTCTACCAGCCCTGCACCATACCAGGGAGATGAAGGGATGTAAGGGAGGCCAGAGAGTGCTTTCCACTCTCTAGAATCCTCTACCTTCTGAGAAACAAGATGAAGCCATGTGACACAGTGAGTGAAACAAAGAATCCAGGTGAGGAAAACCTTCTGGCAGGAGCAGAGAGCCGTGGCTGTGTGCTCGGGAGCTGGTGCTATCTCAGAGGGCTGGACAGTAACTGGTCAGACTGAGGATGCTAGCTTCTGGCAGGAGCAGAGAGCCGTGGCTGTGTGCTGGGGAGCGGGTGCTATCTCAGAGGGGTGGACAGTGACTGGTTAGACTGAGGACGCTAGCTTCTGGCAGGAACAGAGCTGTGGGTGTGTGCAGAAGAGTTGGTGCTATCTCAGAGGGGTGGACAGAAACTGATTAGACTGAGAGTATTAACTTGGGGAGGAAGTAAGTGCAGGTGGACCCTCCTCTGGTCTCCCCTTTGACCCCACGCAGAGCACCTTGAGCACCACTCCTTTGCCAGTCTTCCCAGGAAGCCCACTGGGTCCTCTCTGTGACTACACTCAGCCAGCCCTTGGTGAAGTATCCTATCTCCTGAGCCTATGCATGAGGCCTTGGCTCAGACCTAAGGGCAGGACCAGACAGGCCAGGGGTTTGGCAACGCATGAATGGAGTGAGCCAGGCTTACCCGAAACTGCCCGCCATCACCATCGTCCAGCTCCAGGATGTAGCCGTCCACGGGGCTATGGGTGAAAGGGGGCATCCTCCAGGCCAGGGTGACACTGTTGTTACGGGTGCAGCACTTTTCCAGCTGCAGCAGTGGCACCGGTGGCACTGGAAGGAGGAGGGTCTTGGCTTAGTGTGCCACCCCAGCCTTTCCCATCTGCCTCTAGCATGCACCACCGCCCCCCAGGGGCTACCGTGCCATGGGGCTGAGAGAGAGGGCCAGTGCATCTGATGGCATGTCTCAGTCTGGGTCTTGGAATCCCAGCATGAGGCTGCCATCCTTGAATCTACAGGCTCCAAGTGAGGTAGACCCTTGTCTCACCCTCCACAGAGAAGCACTGTTTTTGACTCAGATTGGTGAGGAGCTTAAAGTATTTCCAACAGAGTTCAGATTCATGTCCCTCCCGCAGCCTCTGCGGACTCCTCTCCCCAGGGACAGCTGTGAGCACGAAGATCGTCCCTGGGCTGCCTCACTACAGGCCCTGAAGCCTCTGGCTAAGTGTACAAGACTCCAAATGAGCCAGACGCGGCAATGGAAACTCTCTAAGGACTCAACAGTGGGTCACTGGGATGAGGCATTTGATCACATGTGTCCTAAATTCTATGAAGGCGCGATGCAAGGATGTTATTGTTTTCTGGCTGTGTTTGAGAGGCTTCTAATGGCTGGACTGTCAGAAGGAAGCTGTACTGCTAACCTAAAGCAGAGCCTTTATGGAGGTTCGAATCCACCAGCAGTTCCATGGGAGAATAATGAGCGATCTCCTCTCTTGCAAATTAAAGCCTCAGAAAATTCACTGAGTAGAGTTGTGTTTGAGTTCAAGAGATTTTAGAAACTGTTACCTAGTCCATACTGCTGTTTTATGGGGAAATACCAGTGTCAGTTTTGCAACAATGACATCTCTCAGTCTGGCTGGACATAGTAGGGCAGATCTCTTGGGATTTGGGAGTTCACTGGAGTGAAGCCTCATTCCTGCTTACAGACTTGCTCTCAAGCATGGCTGGGCAGGGCATGAGCTCCCAGGTGTCCCTAGATCACAGAAGTGTGAAGCATCCACTATGACTCTACAGTCCCAACACTCTGGAGTGCCCTGGGCAGCAGCTCCTGTGGGCATCACAGGCCCCTCCATTCCTCAGGGCTCACGTTGACCCAGCCAGCTCCCTCCTGTTGTCCACATGCCATCTCCATTGCACCTAGAGCAGGTGACATTTTCAAACATCTCTGAGGTGCCAGGATGTGTGTGACAAATGAGTGGGGACTTAAAAAATGGCCAAGCAGTTTCTATCTAAGGGGTTTTGAGTTCACAGGTTCTCTAGGTGTGATTCTCAGTCCTTTGACACTTTGGTTTAAAAAATTATGACAGCAAATGCATCCTTATTTCCTCTCCTAAACGCACACTGGCATCTCTAGAGAAGGTACAGAGCTCTGGAGGCATGAACCCCAAAGCCACATCTCGGGCAGTTCAAATCCACCAGGAGGTCAGTGGGAAATGGGCAATCTCCTTCGTGCAATTTACAGCCTGTGAAAATCTGTTGGAGCCTTCACTTGCTGACTTTGAAGCTAAGTCAAGTTGTGCAAACTATGCAATCCTGGACTTCATCTCCTGTGCCGCTCCAGCTGGTTCATTCAGCTCTCTCCTATGACCTTCTCGCTGTTCTTAGAATACAGAAAACTTACTCCTGCGCCCTGAGCCTCCTGGAATACTCATCCGCTAACTGCCCTGTCCCTCTCCCCTCCACCAGCACCTCCTCACTCCCTAGCCCTCATGCACCTCCACCACAACTTCCTTCTCCTGCCTTTTCGCCACGTTGCCCATAGGTAACAAAGCATATTTATTTGTTTAATTCTTGTTTTTCTACTAGAATATAAACTCAGTCTCAGATGAGAATCAGTAGATGTGTTTATGGCTGTGTACTACACACCCAGAACTGTGTCTGGCACACAGTAGTAGCTGTTGTTGTGTGTTGTTGAGTTAGGACTGACTCATAACAGACCCTCCAGTAGGTTTGCAGAGACTGTAAATTGCACGGAGGGGCACTGTAAATCCTTCTCGTGTAGAGCTGCTGGTAGATTCGAACCACCTGCCTTTGTGATGGCAGCACAGCTCCTTACCCACTAAGCCACCAGAGTGCCCTGCCACATACCAGACACTCAGCAAGTGTTTGTTTTTATATTTGTGTGTGTGTGTGTGTGTGTGTGTGTGTGTACCATCAAAGTGGATCTGACTGGTACAGGAGGAGATTGTCTCTCCTTCTCCAGCAGAGCATCTGGTGGATTCGAACTGTTCACCTCTGGGACTGCAGTGCAGCTTCTTGCCACTAGGCCACCAGAGTACCCTTCAGCAAGTGTTTTGGGATGCACAGTCTCTGTTTTATAAATGAGGAGACCAGGACGCAGTCTGAGGGGCTCCTCCCTCAATCCCACAGTGGTGCTTGGCTGAGTTTTGACGCAAGTCCCTGATAAGAATCATTGGACTCCACCCATCTCCTTTTGGCTCTCAGCTTGCCTCCCCATTTGGCTCCTCCCCTAAGAGAAGCATGCAAGTGTGGCCAACCACGGCTCACCCCTACATTTCATCTGGATGAAGTCCAGCTGGTGGATGGCCTGCAGCAGCGGCTCACTGTCCAAGGTCAGGTCGAACTCCGCTGACACCTTGGGCTCCAGGGCTCCTTTTATCCACTGCTCCTGAGACACCTGGACGCGTTTGATCAGGGCATCGGAGATCTTAAAGGGAGCAGAGGGTGGCGGTTTCAGTTTGCGGAGGAGAAGCTGTGCAGCCATTGGCGAGCGAGGGGAGAGCTTTGTCTTTGCAACTCAGGGAAGAAGGGGCTGTGCAAAGCATGAGCTCTCAGGTCAACTTCAGAGACCCTTACCAAACTCATTGTGCTGTTTAAAAATCGTATTTTTCAAAACCCATCTACTTTAATGAAAAGAAGGATTTACTAATAAAGAAACTGGACTATGCTTATTCCAAAGCAATGAGTATTTTTAACACATATCCAGCACTCTTCATCATGTCAGTTTTGTTAGAGCTAATATTTTCAAAGGGAAATATATTTAAAAAACCCAAGATTTTCAGCGATTGCACCCCATATCCCCTCTCCCTGACTTGTTTCCTCTGAGCTGTTCACGGCATCTACCCTCACAGCTCTGCTCTCCTTTGCTGGGAAGTTCTGCTTACTCAGAAATATGCTCCTGTCCTGCAGAGTCACCATTTCAGGAGACATGTAACTGAATTCCCATCCTACTCGCAGTCACATATAACTCTGAGGCATATGACGTCCTGGAGAGAGGACCAGTGTGGTCACATCGTGGGCCGTGGGAGCAGTCACCTGCCCAGGCCTGTGGGATGCTGCACACTGATGGGTCATGCGGATTCTGCCAACTCATTTCTCCCACTGGGATCTGTCCAGCTTGTTTGGCAAACCCTGTCCTTTCCCATTTGGCAACGGAGAGGGGATCACAGACACACAAGTATTACAACAAAATTTCAGCCTTAGTAAATATGAACTTGAATCTCAAGTAAGGAGGAGCTCCAGGTCACACGGGCAGAGCCAAGGCAGAGTCTCGCTCTTCTGGAATCACTGAGAAAGGGAGAGCCTAGTCGACTCCAAGCTACTAGAAGGGATCTTGCCTAAGCGGCTGTATCTTCTCTCAGCTGTGATGAAGGTGGAACAGCAAAGCCATGCCCACCTGGTGTCCTCCAGGAGCCGACTCACCTGTAGAAACCCAGAGGGGTCATTCTCCTTGATGACCTCCAGGCAGTACTCCATCAGCCCTGTGGACTGGCGCAGCTTCAGCGTACAGTGGTTGATCTGGTCCCAAACCATCTGCAATGGAGAGGATTCTTTAGAGACTGCCCTGCGGGGAGTGAGCAGGCAGCGGTACAGCGAGAGCCACAGGAGAGCAGAAAAGCACGCAGAGCAAGTGGCCAACTGCTCTGCCCTGCGGGGTCCCCGAGTGACCCATGCACTCTCTCCTGGACCCCATCCCAACAAGGCCCAGCAGAGCAAGCCTTTGTAACTCTGGGTGGTATGAAGTAGTGAGATTTGCCACGTCGTTTTCAGCTCCTTTACTTATAAAACAAGGATTATCCTTAATATTCCTTCCTTCTCTTTTTCAGAAAACAGGATTTCCTGATTCAGTTAGGAAACACCTTTAAGCATACTGTGCTCCCTGGAAAATGAACCATACTGTCATCAATGCAGAACATCTGTGGGACACTAGCCCTGCCCCAGAAACTTAATGTCAAATGAGAGAAGGCCCTGTCCTTCCCGTGGTGGAAACTGGCCAGATTGTGATGACTGATGGTCAAGTGCCTGGGAAAGAAAGAACGTGAGGCAGGGGATGGGGCTGGAGACCCTCAAGGAAGGAGCACATCCCAGGCAGTCACGGATCGCTTTGCCGTATAAGTTAGGTGAGAACAGGAAGAGACCCATGACAGAAGCCAAGGACTTTAGCTAAAATGGGAGAGAGTACGCTTGTGACTTTCAAACAGCAAGATACAGGGTGTCTACAGGGAGGCAGGCGTAGGTGTTGACTCACTTTGGTGAAAGGGGGCCCATGCCCCTAGCACGGTCTGTTAGTGTAGCCTCAAGGACCAGCTTGCTCCTCTCTTCCTGTGCCGTCCATCCACTAGCCCTCTTGCCCAGAGCTCTTGCGTACCTCACTAAGGCCAACTGCAGAGGCTGTAGTGCGGCTGTGCATGCCAGAGTCTTGGTATCTCACCCAGGCTGGCCATAGTGGGACTGCGGAGGCTAGTATCTTGGCATCTCATCCAGGCCAGCTCCAGAGGCTGCAGTGGGAGGACTGTGGATGCCAGCATTTGGTACCTCCCCCAGGCCGGCTGCAGGGGGACTATGGATGCCAGCTGTCTTGATACCTACCTTCAGCTTCTGCTCTCTCTCTTTAGTGACCTTGGTGAGTAATTTGGCCTTCTGCCGAGTTAGAGCATCAACTAGGGCATCACACTGAGCGACCAGGCACGCTTCGTAGTCTAGTCCGTTTTCCTAGAAAAAGCAGAAGCTTTATCGAGAAGAGATGCCAAAATATGGCAAGTGTTCTAGACAAAAACTTATTTCCGAGACGTTTACCTCAGAAAGAGGTAATTTCTTGAAATTAGAAACAAAACAGCTGTGTGTTGGGGTAGGCAGGGTAGGTACTGTGAAATCAAAGCACATCTACAGGATAGATGTTCCACTGCTATTCAAACTTTGTTCACAGTTTTAAGGCCATGGGGAATGTTCATTAGAGAGCTAAGGTCCATCACGGACAAACCTCCTCATCGCAAAGCCCCCTTTTCTTCTTTAAACTTTATAAATTGACACTCACCTGGATCTGCTGTAGTATATTCTTCAGTTGAACCAGAAACTCCTTAGCTTCTTTTGCCTTATCGGAAACTCCATTTAAGGCCTGAGATAATTGTGCCTTAAAACAAAACAAAATCATACAGTGAAGAAAAGTGTAAAAGGTTCACAGTTCTCACTTACATGTAAGAGCCTCTGCTTATAATGGAGGAGTCCATCAGACACTGGCTGTTCGTGAAGATACCGCCACCCCAGTTGACTCAGGATCCCATGAGTACTTTCCTTGCAATAGTTGATGAGTGTTAATCTGCTTACATTCTTCTCTCTGAGCTGACCCGAAGGGAAGCGAAGCAGGAGTCTTAGCAGCTGACAGACCTGCTCTTGGCCTTGGCTGCTGTTGGTGGTGAGACTACCATTGAGTCCATTACAACATAGCAACCCTATGAACAACAGATCAGAACCTCGCCCTATCCTGCATTTTCATCACTGTCTCCCACATACTTGAGCCCGTTGGTGAATCTTCAAATATGGATTACATCTCAATATCAAGAAAGCAAAGGTCCCCATCACTGGGCCAGAAGGCAACACTATGATAGAGGGAGAAGTAACTGACATTGGTGGAACGCAAGAGTTGTATAAAGAGAGATCCTTGGTCCTCCAGTCCCATTTTCTTCCTCTGGACCACATAAAGAGTTTCAATAGGTAGGTGTGAGTATGCAGAGCCCAGACCAGGCTTCGCTCACCTCACACCTACACAGGTGCCTTTTGTCTGGTGTATATATTTAGTGGTGTAGCTGGGAAGCAAGAGAGCAGAGAGAGCTCCAGGCATCATAGTAAAGACAAGATGCAAGACCACATCTAAAAGCTGGGATCAAAACTGTGGCCTTGAGTATCACTCTTCCCCCCCTCCCCGCTCTTCTTTTTAACTAGATACAACCAGTTTAACACTCAAACCCTAGTTACTGAGTTGTTGTTGTTGTGTACCAGAACCAACTCACAGCTGACCCTCCAGTGGGTTTTCAGAGGTAGTTAATTACATCGGAGGTGATTGCTCATCTTTCTCTCAAGTTATCAAGATGACCTTATTTTGTTGTTATTATTACATACCATTGAGTCAGAACCAACTCACAGCTGACCCTCCAGTGGGTTTTCAGAGGCTGTAAATAGCGCGGGAGGAGACTTCCCATCCTTCTCCCACAGAGCAGCTGGTGGATTGAGTTGGCAGCACAGCTCCTTACCTCCAGGCAGCCAGAACTCCCTAACTTTGTTAAAGTTTCATTTTTAAAATTAAAAACCCAAGAGTGGAGCATAACAAGGTTAAGAAATTTCCAAACTTGCCTCCACATACACCTTTTTAGCTCTCTGGTCAGCGAGGCCTTTCCTGATGACCCTGTGTAAAACCACCTTCTCCCTTCACCTCGTCTGATTCTGCCTCTTACACAGGCTTGCCGATTTGTGTCTGTGTCTGTCTTTCCTTCAGGGTGCAAGCTACTCAGGACAGGGACTCTGGAGCGTCACAGCACGTTCTCAGCCCTAGGCAGTGTTACAGCAAGGTCACTAAACAGAGTTTTCAATGCAGCTGCACCTTGAGGGGAGGTCAAGGTGTTCAGAGGACGAGGATGAGTCTCCTCTAAGGAGCAGCCTTTCCTGCCCCCACTGTCACCAACCCTCTCTTACCTCGGCTAGCTCCAACCCCACCCCCTGGGACTCACGTTTACTGCATTTGCCGATACAGTGAGTCTGTCTAACAGGACAAACAGTCAAGACAGAAATGTTCTGGTCTGTGCAGCCCAGTTCAGCAGCCAGCAATCTCAAAGCACTTGAAAAGTGGCTAGTGTGACGGAAGAACTGGATTTTACATCTTACTTAGTTTATAAATCTCCACATATGTCTTGTTGACGACTGAAGTGGACAGGCATGTGCCCAAGAATGTTCTCTGAGGAGACATAGCCAAGATTACTCTGTGCTTCCTGCGAGATCCACACTTGGGAGGAGACTGAGGAGGCAGAAGCCCATGGCGAGTGTTTAAGGATGGGACTTTTACATTGGGGGGGGGGTATCAGGAAAGGGGGGTTGCCTCCACACCATGTTCATCAGAAACCTGGAGCCACGAAGAGCACGGTGGGGCACAGCCTTCATACCCTGGAGGAGACTTTCTGTGGAGGAACTTTATCTCTTCTCTTTGCACTTATGAGGCACTCCGAAAACGACTCCTGGTTGAATAAAAAGCACAGGCTTGTTTGATTAAAGGGGAAAGCCAGAGAGGTCTCCATCACAGCTGATCCATTGCTTGAGATGAAATACCACATGCCCCTCCCCTTCTGCTTGTGTGTGAGTGACTTAGTGAAGTGACATATATCCTTGACCTGTCCCAGGAGCTGGCCCAGTGCCAGCACAGCTCTGCCTGGCTGGCCCTCAGCCTCCCACCGGCCAGCCTTCCTCAGAGCTCATTGACCTGCTTCCTACCTGGCCAGGAACCTGAGAGCAGATGGACTTGAAAGGAGTCCAGGAATGCAGGCCAACATGTGACTGAGAGTGCGGACAGTTTGACAATTACACAACTATCCCCATCAGAATCAGACAAGCCACCTAACACTGGGGCTTACTTCCCCTCCACTTCATACATATGAGCATCACTACATGTGCACCATGGGGGTTTGGGCTGCTTCCTCTTTTGGCTACTGGGAATAGCATTGGACCCCCATTCTTCTTGACACCAGTCCACAAAGACCATCAGGAAGCCCAGACGCCCTCCCCGCACACACACTCTGTTTCTCTCAACCCTGGTCTCTCCTTGTGTAAAATGGTTATTCGCCTGGCCTGGGGGACAAAGTTGTGAAACTGGACCTGGTTGTTCCGGTTGATAAGAAGCAAAGGTTTCTGAGGTGCAGGTGAAAATAATTTCTCAATGATTTAATTTT